ATTTAAAAATATTTAACACTGAACATTTTTAACATTCTAGCAGACACTATACCAACAAAACACAATTTAACATATTGGGTGGCTTCATTTTTTTTTTTTTTTTTTACTGTACAGCCATTGATATGTATGATATGTTGTGTTGTAGAGAGCAAATGTTGCGCTCTTTTAGAGGTCACACCTGGGAGAATTGGGAATGGGATCCGGACAGTAAATCTCCTGATGCTCATCTGTCTCTGTGCCGACAAGCCGTATATTTTCATATCAGCCCTCTGCTGGACAGTCAAGGAACTGCTGGGGTCAGAGGCACCAACGGTGAGACTAGTGAGTGAATAGAGCTGCTTTTGTTGTTCACAAGTCAGCTCAAATACAATGTTACATTTAATCAGGCTGATACTGTGTTAGGAGTATAGACGTTCAGTGATAAGTAGTTGTACATTAAGTGCTAGTTTCCTTTGCATCAAGCCTGGTTCAAGTAAATTTTTAGCCAGCAATTGTAATGTTAGTAAGGCTTTTGTTATTCTCTAGTAGAGTATTGCTCAGCAGTCCTGAGGATAACTATCATGTGTTGTGGTAGAATTTTCTGATAATAATCGATTACCACAGAATAACGCATATTTCTGTGTAAAGGTTTCACTCATGGTGAGCATTACTGGGAGATTGAGTTCCTTGAGCCTCCATATGGAAGCTCTGTGATGGTGGGGGTCGGTACCCAAAATGCACTTCTGCACACTGGGGATCAAAAGTTTGTTAACCTCATAGGTGAGTCATGTTCCTCTTAGGAATGCTCATATTCTTCTTCAACCAAATCAGCCCAGCCCAGCTCCACTCAGCACAGACATAAACTCCCTCAGGTTGATCTTACTTGACAACCTAAAAATTAATGACATCATCTAATTATCAAACAGGAATTGTGTCCCATCAACGCCGCATAGATAAACAAGGGAGGAAAAGTACAGGACAAGCAGAGCGTACAGGAGCACACAATGTTTTTCTTTGAATCGTTGAAACTGTTTATGTTATTGTTCTGATCGTCCTGTTTCTTTCTTCAAAGGCATCGACAGTGAGAGTTGGGGTCTATCATACAAAGGCTTCGTCTGGCATAATGGGAGGAGTCGAAAATACACAGAGCCTTTTTATGAAAGAAATACGGTCATTGGGGTTTTGCTGGACTTGAGCGCTGGAACACTGACGTTCTTCCGAAATGGAGTGAACCTTGGGGTGGCCTTCACTGGACTGGAGCAGGTAAATATCACTGCATTGAGTATGTGGAAGTACTGGATGGTAAGTTAAATGTGGGAATTTAGAATGCTCCTGGAACTTTTGTGTTCCCTGCAGGTCAGCAAGGCTCTGTATCCTCTGGTGAGCTCTACGGCCCCTGAAACTGAGCTTCAGCTGGGCGTGAGGAGCCAGAGAATCTCCTCCCTACAGGAACAGTGCATACACATCATCACACGGTCCCTCTCACATTATAGACACGCACACGAATTACCATTACCCACACCTCTGCTCTGTCAAATACGCACACATGCGCCTTTATAAGCGGGGCACTACCTGTTTCTCCAACTTCAAATAACACAATTCTGTCCAGTGCAACAGATCAATTTTATATGACGCCTACCTCAAAAAAATTTATTTTATCACTTAAATTGAACAAAAACAGAATGTGTGACCTTTAACTATGTAATCATGTTGCCATTTGTATTCTTAATTAATATGCCATCTCTGCCCTTTCTAGATGATGTTGTTGGCAATGATTGTGTTCCAAAATAAGATATAATCACCTGTATTTATAATTAGTGTTTTTTGTTATACTCACAGGGTAGTTATTTTGGGGACAAATATGTAAAAGCCAATTAAATATATCTTTCTGCTTTTATAAGAAAACTGTGGTAAAAGTGTTTTTATTTGCTCACCACAACCAGGGGACGTTCTAAGGCTTATAAAACAAACCCACAGAGGGGAATTTTTTTACACCATCTCTAACGATTTATTACTCTGAAATCACAACATGATATACAAAAGTAAAGATTTCAAAAGCACAGAATACACTTTAACAGCCAAAATGGAAGAAAAGAACCTTCACAAAAGAAGTAATGCAAAGTTCCACCTGGAAACCAGAAATACACTACAGTACAGGTAAACAGGTAGATGTTTGGATACAAGTACAACAAAATGTCACAAAGTTCACAGATCTGTCCAGAGAAAGGGAATTTAACAGCTAATATCATCGCCAGTTCACTCCATTAAGGCACACAGACACTTGGGTTTGAGGGCGCTTGTCTAAAACTATTTAAGCCACTGGTCCACATGTCAATGCTCGGATGGATTGACATGAATAGGACGTTAACATGACACAGTAAACGGTTACAATTCAATATCAAGGCATATGACACAACTCATTAGTGCTAAATAATTAGTGCCCAAGTACCTGCTTTATGGTTCTTTTGGAATTCAGACCCATGAAACCAGACTCAATTGGATGCTGTACTTGGATTTTATGCACTCCAGTAATAACTCATTGCACGAGTTATATATGTTTCCTCATAGATAAAACCACAATTTGACTAAGATGACAAAATGACATCAAATTGTTCTTTGCTATTTCTGTCTTCTGGCTTTTGTTTCAAATGTGTAATGGCACCGTCCCCGACAGGCAGTACGTCTTCTAGTAACAAATAAAATTGATCACACAAACATTTTAACCATATAATCTTTGGCCAAAATAAATATGTCTGGGGTAGAATAATACAACGGAATTACTGAACAGACCACACAAAACTCACACACATACAGATAGAAGAAGCGGAGGTTTTGATCAGAAAAATAACTTTCCTTTTCTGTTTCAGCATCAGGAAATTTGTGCTGGCCATAAGCATCTGCCCTGTTCCTGGAATCACTGAGACGCCACAAAAAGATTCTAGAAAAAAATAATATAATGATATGATAATATAAATGAAGACTTCCAAAGAAAGTTCTTTGAGACAATACATAATACCATATATTTTATGTAATAAGAAATGCATGTTTAAAATAAGTGTTTCAAGTTTGAGTAGTAGTGCTTTATACTTGTCCATAGCTTGTGCCAACTATGGCTTACAAAAATGAGGACGTGTGCATGTAGTCTAATTTTACTTCTGAACTGAAATGAATTCGGTCAAGTCGAACAAACAATATCCAAAGCAAGCTGATGAGCTACCAAAACAAACTAAAGCAGCTACCTGTACACTTTGTTGGTTTATTGATTTAGGCCTCTGCTAACACACCATATAAAAACTCTTGTGCCTGTGCAGTACCATTATGCCTGACAACAGCTACATGACTTCTGCAGGAGAGAAAAGGAGACGATTGTCAGAATTTGATCACAGCCTAAACGTTTGTGACAGCTTGACCGCTCTGTGCCCTCCAGTATCCTTTTTTTTTCATAGCTTCACCCAGTTAAAATACTCATGCATTTGGCAATACTGAGGGAGACACGAAGGACGGGACACAGCAACAGAGGAGCAAAGCTATGGAACGGAGAGGGACAATAACCGGAGAGGAGTCCTCGTGAAAAGTTCTCCCACTCCTCACTGGATAAAGACCTCCTGATGTAGGTCGAGCAGGATGCGGGTGAAGTTGTTGATTGGTCCGATCGCGCTGAGTGTCATGGAAGCATCCTGCCCCCACAGCAAGTTGGGCCCAAACACCACAGCCAGGTTGGCATTGGTCATCTTATTGACTTCACTCTCAGCAGACACCTGCACATCAATAACAAGAAAGATCAGAAATACTTAAGGGCTTGTAGGAGAAAGTAGGAAATAAATACTCGGCTAGAACAATTAGAAGGGTTATTTATGGCTGCCTTGGGGTTTCCTGAATAATTATCAGCTATTATTGCTTTCTTTTTAAAGAAAAAATTACTGCAATAAAATATGTTTCTCAAATGGGTTTCATTTTTTTTACATAAAATATCAAAATAAATGTTAAACAATAACAAGTTACATTCAAAATTAAAATGTAAATATAGATATACTGTATAAATATATGTAAATATAGATACAGTGCCATTCAAAAGTGTGGAAAAATATTACTGTGTTTTTGTGAAATATTATTGCAATTTTGTGAAATATTATTGCAATTTAAAATAACAGTTTTCTATTTTAATATACTTTCAAATGTAATTTATTCCTGTGATCAAAGCTGAATTTTCAGCATCATTACTCCAGTCTTCAGTGTCACATGATCCTTCAGAAATCATTCTAATATGCTGATTTACAATCAATTTTGGAAACAGTTGTTCGGTTTAATATTTTTTGAGAACTGTGATACTTTTTTCAGGATTCTTTGATAAATAAAACATTAAATTTTTACTATTCACAATAGAAATTTTGTGTTACAATATACGCTACCGTTCAAAAGTTTGGGGTCAGTCATTTAAAGAAATCATGTGACACTGAAGACTGGAGTAATGATGCTGAAAATTCAGCGCTGCGTCAAAGAAATAAATTATATTTTAAAGTATATTTAAATAGGAAACCAATATTAGAAATTGCAATATTTCACAATATTACGGTTTTTCTGTATTTTTGATCAAATAAATACAGCCTTGATGAGCAGAAGAGACTCCATTAAAAATCATACTGATCCCAAACTTTTGAACAGGAGTATAAATATATAACACATATGTGTGCATATTATATTTTATACATTTACACACACACACTCACATATTTATATGTAGATATATATAATATAATTATATAATGATATGTAAATATAAAAATATGTATACATTTTTTTTTAAAGTTAAAATTAATTTTAAAGTAAAAAGTCTTATTGTTGAACATTGCCGATTATGTTGATTATTACCTGAGCAAGAAACTGTATGAGGAAGCGCAGTGATGCATAGTTCTCCTCAGGAAGTGACGTCAGCATGTTCCGAATCCTTTCTGCCTGCGACTCTGTGTCAACATCTGATAACACAACACACAAGGAATGCTAACTAAGTTTGTGTGAATGTGTGTGTGGCCATGTCACTTTCAAGGCTCAATGTAAACAGTCTACATGCAAAAACTGTGGTTTTAACAATTGACTAACAAATGTCAGTATAGTAGGCTGACAGACGTGTGTGTGTGTGCGCTTATGTGAGCTTTCTGGAAGCTGCTGGTGTTGCTATGCAAGTGCGTTGTGCTTTGTGTTCTCACTGTGGAAGTTGACAATGTCGTTGTAGAGCTGATAGGTGAGCAGCGGCTCTGGCAGTTCTCTGAGGAACATCTTTAAGATCACAGCTGCCAAGTGGACATCGTCCAGCTGCGAGAAACTCACTTCCTCTCCTACAGACACACGCAACATTCTAACGACTGATGCCAATCATTCTTGTGAACAGGAAATGTGGGAGAATTCTTCCACATGCAGAGCATCACACAACTTTACCTGAGTTATATTTCTGCTTAATTTCCTTAACCAAAGAAACATTAGCAGAACGCCGGAATATTCCCTCTGTCTTAAGACCTACAATAAAGAAGGAAATAAAATTCACATTCTCAATTTAATAAAGTAAAGAAATACATAAGTTTACACTATTCTATAATAAGATTGGCCCAGGACTCTACAACCCACCGCTGAGGCTAAACAAAAAGTTTAGTATATCCAACCTTACGTGGATAGATACAATACATTCCACGTTTAGAGGTACGTAAAAGGTTTGATTGAGCCATAAATCTGACTTGACTAAAAGACCTACCATTCTCTTGCAGGAATCCAGTAGTATCACGCATGACTAGTGGAATTCCCTCGGAGTCTGCCGCCCTGTGTCTCAATCTGATTGCAAACAATAATACAAAACAACTCATATCTAAATAGGAGTTTCTCATAGTGCACAATCAAAACGTACAAGTTTTTCTATAAACTATAAAGTATAAATGAGATCGTCATCTTCAGCTACATTAAGTCCAAATGTAAATTTCATGCATTCAGTCAGTAACAGATTGTAGCTGTGTGAGATATGAGAGAAACGTACGCTGACAGTGGGACCCCAAACTGCTGGAAAGGAAGAGGAGGACTACGAGGGGGAGAGATCGGTCCAGGGACGACAGACGGCTTCAGGGACAGACGGATCTTATCATCATACCTACACAAAGAAAACTCTTGAATGCGCCTCAAAAGAACTGTTTATCTGGGCTAAGAAATAACAGTGTAATCCGTGCACATGTATAACTGCATATATAGAATTTCTTACTCTCGGACTCTGTTGGGGATCACCAGCTGATCACATTTCACAATCTCCTCCAGCTCGCTCAAATAATTTATGTAGTTTATCTTACGGCCGAACTTAAAGCTGAAAACAGAACGTAAGCACATTGGTCTGTAGTGTATTATGAAGTATAGAATACAGGCTGTAAGATTCAGATTACAGTACAATCAATGTGAGGATAAAATAATATTGAGTATAGTGTGGCACTGACCTGATGAGGGGTTTGAAGAGAATAAGGATGGTTCTGATAAGCATGGTGGGATGGACTATGTACAGCGCCTTGATATTTTTCTTATACCTGCAACAGACACAGCAATACTGAAGCTTGACAACCAATGAGGTTTGCTCTTGTGTACTGCTGTTAAAGCACTCATGAGCCTCTCACTAACAACAGCATCACTCACTTCCTGTCAAACTCTCGATAGGCATCTCGAAGAGAGGGCTTGTTCTCGCTGGTCAGACCATGATGGAAGTAGATGAGGGTATAATCACTCTCCACATACTTATCAAGAGTCTGCTTCAAATACCTGCACATAAATATCAATAAATACACACCAAATCAAAATGCTTGAGTTCACATTAGACACTAAAACAAACAGAAGGAACATCTGCACTTAATCAGCTGTCAATTACTGAAACGTCAGGTTTTATTTATTCACTTCAGAGTCATTTAGACATTAGGTCTAGACATTTGTTCTAGATTTCATTACACAAGCCATACTCTTCTCAGACAACTCCTGAAGTTCACAATAGGGAACTAAATTAAGTCTTGATTTCACTTCATTAAAAACTTAATTGTCTTAGGACATTGTCTTATGGTGCTTTGACTCACTGAACACAATATTAATTTATAACTCAGCATATGAGTGGTTGACATTCAAGCAAAAAAATTGAGGAAGGAAAACCTCGATAATATGAAAAGAAAATAATACAGTTGTCCTAAATACAGCGGGTAAAATAAGTATTGAACACGTCACCATTTTTCTCAGTAAATATATTTCTAAAGGCACTGTTAACATGACATTTTCACCAGATGTCGGTAACAACCCAAGTAATCCATACATACAAAGAAAACAATACAAATAAGTTCAGAAATTAAGTTCTGTGTAATAAAATGGAATGACCCCGGGAAAAAAGTATTGAACACGCTTACTGAAATTTATTTATTACTTCGTACAAAAGCCTTTGTTGGTAATGACAGCTTCAAGACGCCTCCTGTATGGAGAAACTAGTCGGTGTGATTTTGGCCCATTCC